ACAATCCCAGACAATGTTCCATTTAAAGTTGTATCAGAGGTCAAAAACTACTACATGTTGGTGACTGACGGAATACTAGACAGAGAACTTCAACCAGAGTATAAAATTACAGTTACTGCCACTGATGCGGGCTCTCCCTCACTCTCCAATGTAAACGTTATAACAATCCTGGTTAATGACATAAATGATAACCCCCCGACTTTTACTCAGAGCGAGTACAATGCCAACATATTGGAAAACCAGCCCGCTGGCACGTTTGTGATGAAAGTGAAAGCAGAGGACACTGACGAGGGGTCTCATGCTAAAATATTGTACCAAATATCAAGGGACACACACTCAGAGGCGTCCTCCTTCCTTACCATCCACTCAGAAACAGGGGAGCTCTTCACATCACGCCTCTTTGATTACGAACAGTCAGTTCACTTCCAAATTAAGGTGACAGCTCGAGATGGAGGGGATCCTCCACTCTCCACCACTTGCACTGTAAACGTTTTTATTAAGGACCAAAATGACAATGCGCCTGTGGTTCTATACCCTGCCCAAACCTCCGGGCTCATTACTGAAGATATGGTGCCAGCTGAAGCGCCTAGAGGTTACCTGGTTACTAAGGTGGTAGCTGTGGACGCCGACTCTGGCCATAATGCATGGCTTTCTACAGAATAATCACAGCAACGCGGCCTAACCTGTTTATAGTCGGTCTGCACACAGGCGAAATCAGAACTGTGCGAGCATTCATGGAGGACGATGAACCGAAACATACTGTTGTGGTTTTAGTAACGGATAACGGGCCCGAAACTCTCTCCGCCACTGTTACAGTCAGCATAGCAATAGATGACGGGCTACCTGTTTTAAACGAGCTCTTTGAGTTAGCAGATGAATCACAGGATAGTGACAACTTAACGCTCTATTTGATTATCGCCCTAGCAGCCGTTTCCTCTCTTTTCATCCTTTTAATCAGTGGAGTGTTTTATTTTAAGCTCTGTCGGCGTGGCTATGTTTACCGTTCACCCACCGCTAATCTCCCCGTTTTCCCCACGGCCTACTGCCCCCCTCATTTTACAGATTTAAGCCGTTGTGGGACCCTGCTGAAAGATGAGCGCTATGATTCCTTCTTGACCACTGGGTCGTGGAGAGGCGATTTTCGTTTCGGCTCGAACACAGACACTGACACACTGAAGCAAAGAAGTGCAGCCTACCAAAAAAACACCCTAAGGCGCGCCAGTACAGACAGGGCTAGTTTGAAGGTGAGGGCAGGTGCACCGCACCCTTGTTATGTGTTCAAATGAGAGTTGGCCATAACATATTGTAAATACATTGGAAATGTGCAGTGAAGCGATTTGGACTCTCTGACTGTCAAATATGCTGTAATCTGTCTCATGGTTGTATAGCATTTCTAGATGCATTATTGTGGCTGTTTAAAATGTGGACATTTTTTCTACAGAACTTTTTGTGCATGAATATGTTTTCAGTGCATCAATATGTTTTGTAATGTTCTTGGAGTTTTGCTTATGACTTCAACCTCATCCCCCAGACCTGACCTTGCACACTGACAATCTTAACCTTTGTTGTCTATCTTCTAGACAATAGTATCATAGTAGCATAAATAAAGTACTTATTCATTTTATGTTTTGTTTGTAATAGTTTTTGTCAAAGACTGAGAAGGTTTGCAGTTGCTTGTTCCCAAACAGGACAGAGTGTTTATATAATAAGTATGAGTATTTTGCTTTTCCTTATAAGCTCAAACACCTACATATTGGAATATGAGTTGGGAATGGGGAAATAACCTATAAAATACATATTTATATGGTTGATGTGTCTCATTTCAAAATGCATAGTTGACCTCTCTGACTGTATCTACAGTTGTGTAAATGTAGTCCCAGCTATTAATATTTTCTTTGTGGTACATGTGTTTTGGCCTCTGTTTGTGTATTTGTGTAAAACGCCCTTCATACTTTTATTTATTGTCCATTTTTGACTTGGAATACATCGCAGCCAAGTTTTGAAAATGCTATATTGTGTTTTCACAAATATCACAAATACTTTGTTGTTTGATAGTGACACAATAAAAGCTTTGCACTACATGCTATGAATTGAACAATATGTAGACTATGACTGTACCCTGATGACAAATAAACTTAATAAGAGAAGATTGTGTTTTACTTCTCCATTGGCCCAGAACTTGTAAAGGACATTTATAACAGAAACCATAACTGATGATCATCATGACACAAATCCAAGGCAACTGTGATTAACAAGAAAAACTAAAACCTGCACTCTGACAAAGACTTGCATGCGTGTTTGGGCAGTAAGATGCCTCCCTTCAGTGTTGAGCAACCAGTATTTGCAACATATTGGTAAATAAAACTCAAATGAACCTCCTCTAGACACTCTTACTTCTGCTTTAGCCTGAAATGTGCAATTATATAATGTAGTTACAAGTCATACACAATCAATGCAAAACAATATGTGTAGATAATTGCAGATTGTTTTTAGTTATTTTGTCACAAGTTTGCAGCGGATTTGTAATATTCAGTGTGAATGCTTTTGTCAAGTTACATTTTCCATGGATCCATTTTATTATACAATCTGAAATATGTTGTATTTCATTCTGTATACATCAGTAAGTAAGTAGTTTATTGCTTCAATACCAGCACTACTAAAACACCGCCTAATATTATTTAACCAGGGAATACCTATGGCGATGAAGGGATGATTATTTCTAAAAGTTCCGCTATTGCATTCAAGAGTCTGATAAAACAGTTAATTGGTGATTTGTGCTTGTTTCTGCATCACATAAAGTGGCTGAGTGTGCCTACTCTTGCCTTCAACTTACTGTGTCATGGTGCTGAAGCAGAGAGGTTTTGTCATCAAAATAATTCCCATGTGAATTCATGTGTGTTACTGCTCATGTTTTAGCTTCAGGCTCACGTTTGCTCCTATTTTCAACCATGGCAGGAGGGGGGAAAAAAACAGTACTTATATATATATATATATTATCTGGGTCACAAGAATATTGTTTTAAGCATTGTGGTTGACATTATTGGAGAATGATTGAAAATTATGTAGATTTAACAGTGCAGCTCATTTTAATTAACACAGGCGTCACAGAGTTTTCAATGTTTCTGAATACTGAGTGTAGTAAATTTATTTTTTAAATTTGATTATATGTTGTCACCCAAGTACATGATTCTTGCACAGCATTCTACTTAGGTTGTAATGTGATAAACATTGAACTTGAAAATGTTATTTTACATGAGTTGGTAATTCATTTATGACGGCGTTCTAAATAATAAAATCACAAGATGGGGTTGGTTAAGTGAAATGCTTGTTAAAGAATAAAAGAAACATAATGTAATATAGGTTAAGAAATAGGCTAAATGTTACCTAAAAAGTTGTTCAACTACAGGTTAAATTGAAAGTGAGAGCTGACTGGCAACAATCCAACACACAGACTGACAAGAGGAAAACACAGCTCCATTTTGGGTTTGCTAACAATGCACTGGAGTCAGCAGGAAATGGAGCAGAAAAGAGCTGAGCAGGTTTAAGCTTTAGCTTGGTTGACAATATCTTATTCTTTATTTATCAAAATAGCAAAGTAGTCCTTCTGAAATAAGTCAGAAATAGACTACTTTATTCAGCTGATGGACTTGGACATCTGTTTGTTAACTACACCATACTTTGAATGTATCTTGGTTAAAGCAGCCCGTTGAAGTGCTGTGTCTGTGATGACTTCTTTTGGGCAGTTATAAAACATCACAGTGTCTATGTCACAAGATCAAACCATAATAATATTAATTATTTCACTATGGATATGTACTGTACATAATGCGAATGTGACAAGATGTGATTAATATTAACTGTTTCTGTTTTCTTCTTTCTTTTCTTGGTGCACTCTTTGAATGAACCTTCATTTCAATCAAACAGGTAAGATAATTTTTTTTCCCCTTTCTCTTTAAATCTCACACAGTACACTCTATTTTAGTTACTTCACTCTGTTATTTTAGTGTCAACAGCCTCATCAACACCATACTCAACTCTCACAGTCAAAACAGAACACAATTGACCCAGAATGAGTTTCCATCCATTTTCCATCTATTATCTCTTATCCTCTGTATCTCTTTTTCTCTGTGTCTAAACCAACTAATACAAATGTTCATAATATAGGTGTAAGACTCCTATCTTCCCAAATGCTGCTTTTAAATTCATATTCATTCAAGTCTGAGCATTTTAGCTAGAAGTCTTGAAACAAGGGCAGCTGCATTGCTCTTATTTATGTGTTCTTTTTGATTCTATCCTAGGCTTTAAGCTACATGAATATTAAATATCCTGGCTGCGGCTGTGCAATCATTACCTGAATAATTCACAATCATGATGTGCAAACTGTTATGCTCTGCAGCAGTATATGCTAATATTTATGCTAATATGAATAGGGGGACGATGCAAACTAGCATGACCCATTAAAAAGCATTGCTACCTGTGCAGACACCAGGTTTTAGCTACATAGAAAAGAAATGCTGTGAAATGTGTCAGTATTTGTTCATGCCTGTGGATGAGGGCTGCAGTAGATTTATAAGAGTTGATTCCACTGCTCAAATGTAGGTCACTGGATTCATCAGTCAGATTGGATCAAGAAAGAAGAGATTATCAATCTATTGCTCCATCGCTCCGTCTCTCTGTCCTATCTATCTATCTATCTATCTATCTATCTATCTATCTATCTATCTATCTATCTATCTATCTATCTATCTATCTAGTACCGTTTCACTTTCCAACATATGTTCTTAGCATTGTTCAGTTTGCTGTTACATTTTAAAAGGAGCTGAATGCAAAGTATTCCCAGGCTTACCCACTTGTATCTTTCACAACATGATGACAATGGCAAGTTCCTTGTATGATCAAATACTAAGAACACATAAAAATGATCCAAGAATTTTATTGTCCATTCTACAAATACTGACATTTTATTTATATTTTTTGTCTTTTGTATTCTTTGCTGAATCTGCACCATTAAAGGGCTTGTAAAGTTTGGATGCTTCCGATTATAAAGACCAGACGGTTCGAACCTTGGTACACACGTACAGATAATGATGTTGTTTTACTTAGTCACTGGTTGGTGGTGCTGTTGCCTAAGCATACTATTTGTCTAACAGCAGTCTTATTACAAGTCACCGCCCGTCTTTGAGGGAAACAGGCGATGGTTGTGGGCATACTTAATAAGGCTCCACTGTGGATGGTGGCATTGCATTTATTTTGACAGAGAACTACAACATATAGGTCCATATTGTGAGCGAGACCCACGGATAACTGTGTAATTCTGGATCTGATATTCATGGTAAGAAATGGATATGCTAAAGAGCAAAGGGACTTCATTGGATTGGAGAGTCTCCATTTTGCTTTTCTGCGTTGTTGCTGCGGTTAGCGGACAAATACGTTATTCTATACCAGAGGAGATGAGAAAGGGGCTGTTTGTCGGAGACGTTGCAAAAGACCTGGGCTTGGATGTTACAAGGTTGGTTTCTGGTCGGGCTAGAGTTGTTATAGATGGCGATAACCAATATGTCGCGCTGAACCAGAACAAAGGGCATATCGTTGTCAATGAAAGAATTGACAGAGAGAATTTATGCGCCAAGAAATCACCGTGTAGCTTTAGTTTAGAAATTGTCCTCGAAGATCCACTTGAATTGTTCTCCATTACCATCGAAATACAGGATGTAAACGATCATGCTCCTGCTTTTCCCAAAAAGGAAATTAATTTGGAAATAAGCGAATCGACGCCCACGGGGACTGTCTTTTTGCTTGATAGCGCAGCTGATCCTGACGTTGGAATAAACTCACTGCAGAGTTACTCTTTAAAGGAAAATCATCATTTTGTTCTCAAACAACACACTCGAGCAGATGGGAGTAAATATGCTGAAATGATGCTTCAGAGTGGTTTGGACCGCGAGAAGCAGAGCGAGCATACGCTCATATTGACGGCTGTTGACGGTGGGGAACCGCGGAGGTCTGGAACAGTAAGGGTTCATGTATCTGTTCTCGACGCAAATGACAACGCACCCGTTTTTACGCAGTCAGTATACAGAGTGTCTGTCTTAGAAAATGTTTTGAGAGGCACAGTTATTGCTGAAGTCAGTGCCGTAGACGCGGACCAAGGTTACAATGGTAATGTTACATATTCGTTCACCCACTTAGAAGAGGATTCCTCCTGTCCTTTCGAAATAAATTCTTACACGGGAGAGGTTAAACTCACCGCTGCCATCGATTACGAGGTTTCTCCAAATTACGAAATAAACCTTCAAGCAAAAGATCCATGGGGTGTAGTGGGAGCCAGCAAACTGATAATTGAGATAACCGATGTAAATGATAACAGTCCAATAATCACAATGGCTTCATATTCGGGTAAAATATCAGAGGATTCTACTCCTGGCACAGTCGTGGCGTTGATTAGTGTCCAAGATAAAGATTCCGGTAAAAATGGACTGGTTCATTTAAATATAGATGAAAATATCCCGTTCAAGATTAAATCGTCTCTCAGAAACTATTACACATTGGTCACGGAGCAAAGTCTCGACCGAGAAAAGCGTCCCAAGTACAACATCACTCTCACTGCCACAGATGAGGGCTTGCCTCCCTTATCAAGCAAAAAAACTGTCGTTTTAGACGTTACTGATGTTAATGACAACGCACCAGCGTTCAGTCAAAGTGTTTACAGCACTCAGGTAATAGAGAACAATTCCCCTGGTGTCACTCTGTTGCAGATACACGCTACTGATCCAGATCAGGGTCAAAATGCACGCATATCATATTTTCTTATTCAGGGTGATATTAATGGTAATCCAGTCTCCGCATATTTCTCTATTAATACGGAGAGTGGAGTCATTCAGTCGTTGCGTTCCCTTGATTATGAACAAGTCAAAGAGTACAAAATACGAGTTAAAGCGCAAGATGGAGGCTCGCCACCATTAAGTAGCAACACGACAGTTCTTGTGCGTGTCCAAGACCAGAACGACAACCCCCTCAGGTTCTGTACCCAGTCCAGACTGGTGGCTCTCTGGTGGCTGAAATGGTGCCTCGTTCAGCAGATGTGGGCTATCTGGTCACTAAAGTGGTGGCTGTTGATGTGGACTCTGGACAGAATGCCTGGCTCTCCTATAAACTGCAGAAAGCCACAGACAGGGCGCTGTTTGAAGTGGGCTTACAGAATGGAGAAATAAGAACTATCCGCCAAGTGACTGATAAAGATGCTGTGAAACAAAGACTAACTGTTATAGTGGAGGACAACGGGCAGCCCTCTCGTTCAGCTACAGTCATTGTTAACGTGGCGGTGGCGGACAGCTTCCCTGAAGTGCTGTCGGAGTTCACTGACTTTACTCACGACAAGGAGTACAATGACAACCTTACTTTTTACTTAGTGCTGGCTTTGGCTGTAGTTTCCTTCCTCTTCATCACGTGTTTAGTGGTTATTATATCAGTGAAAATCTACAGATGGAGACAGTCTCGCGTCCTGTATCACTCCAATCTCCCTGTGATTCCGTATTATCCACCACGTTACTCAGACACTTTGGGGACAGGGACTCTCCAGCACGTGTACAACTACGAGGTGTGCAGGACGACTGACTCCAGAAAGAGTGACGTTAAGTATGTGCAACCAATGAGTCAAAGTTTGGTTAGTGTGGATGACTCTGGAAGTGAAACTCTGCAGAATGGAGGGCAGTTATCAGCAGCATCCCACATGTCTACTCTGGTAAGTTGACCTGTGCGACATTATCACATCTTAGCTGTTACATCTGTGAGCATACAATATTAATAGAAAGTTCACTGTTATATGTTTATGTATTGATGTCATTAATTTAGCGTTAGTCGTGTGTAAGAGACAGACGGCTTTTTCCGCAGCTCTTTCGCTGTCCGTGGTGCTGAAGTGCACTGACACAATTTGATTATTTGAGGTCGTTGGGTTGACTTTGAAGAGACTTTGGTTGAATTCAGTTGCACAATTCGGTGACTACTACTACTACTAATAATAATAATTATTATTAATTTTTACATTTATCTGACGCTTTTATCCAAAGCGACTCACAGTTGCTACATGTCAGAGGTCGCACGCCTCTGGAGCAACTAGGGGTTAAGGATCTTGCTCAGGGACACAATGGTGGCTTGGTCATTGAAGCCGGGTCTCTCACACCAAAGGCAGGCATCTTATCCATTGCGCCATCACCACCCCTTGTGTAATAATAATAATAATAATAATAATAATAATAATAATAATAATAATAAAAAAGTTTTCACTATAGACTTTGGTTGTGTTTATTTATTTATAGAGACAGTGGCACCATTTAGGGACATATCATGCTAATCTTGAAATCTGACTGTGATGAATGAATGAATGATCCCATGAAATACACAGTATAAAATACTGTAAAATACTGATCCTGCATGTCCATTCCGTGCTCTCTCTCTCTCTCTCTCTCTCTCTCTCTCTCTCTCTCTCTCTGTCTCTGTCTCTGTCTTTGTATTCATCAGGCAGAGGACTAGAATGAGCAAGCATTAACTTATTTTTATTGCCAAATATGCCATTACTATACAGAATGACATCCCAAAGATCAAACTCGTGGAGTTCGATGCCTGGTTATATGAGTTATATATTATATCCTCTAAGTGACGCTGTTGCCTGGTAAATCAATTCTACTGTGCATCCTGAGGCAGTGCTGTTCCCTCCCCTGTCACTGCGTTTTACAAGAGGAGATGATCTCTGTTTCATATGAGCTGGTGATCATCGGCTACGGAGTTGATTTCAACTTCTATCGCTGATAAAAATTAACCTGGAACATTTGCGTTTATTCCTCAGTGAGTTTAAATCTTAATTCCATTGTTCGGTTTGCTTGAAGGCCCTCTTATGACATGGCATCAAAAGAACATCATCGAGACAGAGACGTAAGATGGCGATTTCAAGGGGCAATGTACATGGTTTTCTTTCAGTTTATTTTTCTTTGTCAAACGGAAGCACAGATCCGATATTCGATCCCGGAGGAGATGAAAAAAGGCTCCCTTGTTGGAAATGTCGCACAAGACCTTGGTTTGGATTTGAAAAGACTCCGTTCTGGTCGGGCCCGTATCGTGACCGGAGAAAACATCCAGTACACCGAGCTGAAGGCAGACAAAGGGACTTTGGTCGTGAATGAGAGAATTGATCGAGAGCAGCTTTGTGGAGATATAACACCATGCAGCTTTACATTTGAGATTTTATTGGAAAACCCGATGGAGTTGCACCCTGTCACCATAGAAGTCTTGGACGTAAACGACAACGTTCCTACTTTCCAAAACAGACACTTGGAATTTGAAATAAGCGAATCGGCAGCTCTTGGTTCCCGTTTTGTTTTAGAGAGTGCGGACGATGCTGATGTTGGGGAAAACGGTCTGCAGAATTACATTTTAACTCCAAACAACAATTTTGTTTTGAAACAACATGTTAATCCGGACGGCAGTAAATATGCCGAAATGCTGCTTCAGAAACCCTTAGACAGAGAAGAACAGCCACACCTGTCTTTAAAACTGCTGGCTGTGGACGGAGGGAATCCACAAAGATCGGGTACAGTAAATATAGACGTCAATATCTTAGATGCTAATGATAATGCTCCTGTGTTTAATCAATCTGTGTATAAAGCCACGGTGATTGAAAACGCTCCAAAAGGCACTTACATTGTTACTGTAAATGCCAGCGACATAGACAGCGGTTCATATGGACAAGTAACGTATTACTTTTCAAAATCAAAAGCAGGAATCGCTGATTTGTTCAATATAGATGAGGCTACTGGGAGAATATATGTGGTAGAGGAAATAGATTTTGAAAAAGACAAAAAAATTGAGTTCAGAGTTGAAGCTAAAGATCAAGGCGGACTGACGGATTCTAGCAAAGTTGAGATTGAGGTTATAGATGTAAATGATAATGCCCCGGTCATTAACGTGTTGTCCTTCACGAGTCCTGTGTCAGAAGACTCCACTGCTGGTACCACAATTGGCATAATTAATGTTAAGGATCTTGATTCCGGTGAAAACGGAAAAGTAAGGTGCACGATCGAAGGCAATGTTCCTTTTACAATTAAATCCAATGTGAGAAATTACTTTGCATTAATGACTGATGCTTCATTAGATCGCGAAAAGCTGTCAGAATGTAACATCACTGTTATTGCCTCAGATGCAGGGTCGCCTCCCCTCTCAGTTAAAAGAACCTTTTATCTGAAGGTTTCGGATGTCAATGATAATCCTCCAGTGTTTCAACAAAATGTTTACAATGCGTTTATCGCAGAGAATAACTCTCCAGGTGTATCTGTACTAAGCGTTAATGCTGAAGACCCTGATGAAAACCAAAACGCCCATATTTCCTATATTTTGGAAGAGTACGAGATCGGTGGATCTCCAGTTTCCGAATATGTTTCAGTAAATGCAGAAAGCGGAGTGATACACGCTGTGCGGTCATTTGATTATGAGCAAATCAAACAGCTGCTTTTCGTCATCAAAGCGCAGGATGGAGGCTCCCCTCCACTCAGTAGCAATGTGACCGTGAAAATAATGATCCAGGACCAGAACGACAATCCCCCTCAGGTTCTGTACCCAGTCCAGACTGGTGGCTCTCTGGTGGCTGAAATGGTGCCTCGTTCAGCAGATGTGGGCTATCTGGTCACTAAAGTGGTGGCTGTTGATGTGGACTCTGGACAGAATGCCTGGCTCTCCTATAAACTGCAGAAAGCCACAGACAGGGCGCTGTTTGAAGTGGGCTTACAGAATGGAGAAATAAGAACTATCCGCCAAGTGACTGATAAAGATGCTGTGAAACAAAGACTGACTGTTATAGTGGAGGACAACGGGCAGCCCTCTCGTTCAGCTACAGTCATTGTTAACGTGGCGGTGGCGGACAGCTTCCCTGAAGTGCTGTCGGAGTTCACTGACTTTACACACGACAAGGAGTACAATGACAACCTGACTTTTTACTTAGTGCTGGCTTTGGCTGTAGTTTCCTTCCTCTTCATCACGTGTTTAGTGGTTATTATATCAGTGAAAATCTACAGATGGAGACAGTCTCGCGTCCTGTATCACTCCAATCTCCCTGTGATTCCGTATTATCCACCACGTTACTCAGACACTTTGGGGACAGGGACTCTCCAGCACGTGTACAACTACGAGGTGTGCAGGACGACTGACTCCAGAAAGAGTGACTGTAAGTTCGGCAGAGCTGGTAGTCAGAACGTGCTGATAATGGACCCCAGTTCTACAGGGACGATGCAGCGGATACAGAGTGAAAAGAGCATCCTGGATGAACCAGACTCTCCTCTAGAGGTCAGTTAAACAATTGAACTTCGTCTGTGTTCTCTCTGTGTTTTGTAACTGTTACGGGCTATTCCGTCCCTTATAGCACGTGTTTGCATCACTTGTTAGGAATTATTCTGCTGCCAAACACTTCGCAGGTTTAGCTGTGGACAGCACATAGCTGTCAGACCGGTTATAAAATGTCAATTTGTATCAATTTTGCATTCATATAGGATCAAGTAATGTTCATATTTAATAACATTATTCCCTTATATATCCGGGCGTTTAAAGGAAGTTTAGAGTATTCTCTAAGTTGGGTACCTAAAAGCACCACGTACATGTTTCATAGTCACCAATGATTAATAAAGATAATAGTCCTAAGTCATCTTAAATGACAAAGCATGAACCCATGACGCCGCATGTTAAAGGCAACACATGAAACCACTCATAACCCCGACATCCACATCCTAAGGTTTCGTCACAGGTCACACAATACGTCCCGCATACATTGCTTAGGCTACTATCTGACAGATATCCTTAGACAGACCTTTTGCATTTTAACAGAACATAGGAGGCAGCTTGTAAGTGAGTGCGTTGTTGTAGGGACGCTTTACTGTGTTCCATAATGAATAAAAGCAACGATAACTTTTTATAACTGGGTGATAATGTTGGTGTTTTACTTCATTTACGAGTGGATCATTAATTCATTCAGCTTGAACGGTTGGATATTGTTTAGAACTAAGATTCCACTTTCTTCTTTCTTTTACTTTCGACAAGTCGTTTTGAGGCTTCATTGTTTACTTTTTCAGTAGACTTTGTCTTAGTCATAGTACAATGTGCAACCTTACGTACTTCCTAGAATAGATGACGAGACGTGTTAATTCTGACAGTCTATTTTGGGGCGAGGTCTTGGCTTCATCTGATGGCTTCATCTGATGTTCACCTTTTAGACTCTGAGGGACGCTGCTGGTCAGTAAATTATTTTCTGTGTTGTGTCGTCATGCAGTTCATCCCAAGACTGACTACACAGTGAAGAATGCTGTATGCGTTTTGGCGAGGTTTAAGGCACACAAGAGAGAACATAGTCTCACAGACAGTAAAGGGCGGGGACGTGTTTGCATTGAAACCCAGAAAAGGATATATCAGAACCACATTTCCTTCATTACAACTGGATATAGATCACTCTTTTCTGTTCTTTGTTGCCATGATGAGAACTCGAGATTCCCTCACCCACCGATGCGCAAGATGGCGATTGTTTTATGGACTGCGACGGCAAATAGGACTGCTTATTTTGCTGCTTCTTGCGGTTAACATGGTAGGTGGCCAGATTCGTTATTCTATACCAGAGGAAATGAAGAAAGGCTCTGTCATTGGTAACGTAGCGCAAGATCTTGGTTTGGATCTGAAAAGGCTCCGTTCTGGGCGGGCCCGTATCGTGACCGGAGAAAACATCCACTACGCCGAGCTGAAGACAGACAAAGGGATTCTAGTCGTGAATGAGAGAATAGACCGAGAGCAGCTTTGTGGAGAAATAACACCATGTAGCTTCAGCTTTGAGGTGATTTTGGAAAATCCAATCGAATTGCACAGAATAACTGTTGAGGTTTTGGATATAAATGACCACGCTCCCGTCTTCCCAAATAAAGATAAACATATCAGTTTTCAAATAAGTGAATCAGCTGTAGTTGGAGTGCAGTTTCCATTGCAGAGTGCAGAGGATCTAGATGTGGGGCAGAACGCGTTGCAAGACTATGTTTTATCACCAAACGACAATTTTATATTGAAGCAACATGCAAATCCAGACGGGAGTAAATATGTTGAGATGGTTCTCCAGAACCCTTTAGACAGAGAGAGGCATCCACATTTGTCTTTAAAATTAATCGCCATTGACGGAGGAACACCACAGAGATCTGGTACAGTAAATATAGATGTCACTGTGTTAGATGCCAACGACAATGCGCCAGTATTTAACCAATCAATGTATAAAGCAAATGTGATGGAAAACACGATGAAAGGCACAAGCGTTATTACAGTAAATGCCACAGACGCCGATAGTGGCTCAAATGGTCTCATTACTTACAGTTTGTCTAAAATGAAAGGAAGTGCGGCAGATATTTTCAGTATTGATGAAAACACTGGCACGATTTATGTGGCTGGTCAAATAGATTATGAAAAAGACAGAAAATACGAGGTGAGGGTTGAGGCAAAGGATCACGGTGGCCTAACTGGGACAAGTAAATTTATTTTTGATGTTGTTGATGTCAACGACAATGCCCCAGTTATAAATATTATGTCATTTTCCAGCCCTCTATCTGAGGATGCACCTCCTGGTACAACTGTTGCTGTTTTGAATGTAAAAGATGCTGATTCTGACAAAAATGGGCAAATAAGATGTTCTATAGATGGCAAACTTCCGTTTAAGATTGAATCATCTCTAACGAACTATTATAATTTGATATCAGATCAACATTTTGATCGAGAATCCGTCTCAGATTATAACATAACAATAACAGCCACTGATCTGGGGACTCCTCCTCTGTCCAGCTCAACAAAATTACACCTCAAAATATCTGACGTTAACGACAACGCACCATTATTTGATAAAAAGAGCTATTCTGCTTACGTCACGGAGAATAATCCGCCCTGGAATTTCCATATTTGCTGTCAGCGCGCGAGACTCTGATTGGAATCAAAACGCGAGAATCTCGTATCTTTTAGAGGACACAGATATCAGTGGTAGTCCAGTTTCTACTTATGTGTCTTTAAACTCCGAAACTGGAGTTCTTAGCGCGATTCGTTCCTTTGATTATGAACAAATTAAACAAATTCAGCTTACTGTGAAAGCGCAGGATGGAGGCTCCCCTCCACTCAGTAGCAACGTGACAGTGACAATAATGATCCAGGACCAGAACGACAACCCCCCTCAGGTTCTGTACCCAGTCCAGACTGGTGGCTCTCTGGTGGCTGAAATGGTGCCTCGTTCAGCAGATGTGGGCTATCTGGTCACTAAAGTGGTGGCTGTTGATGTGGACTCTGGACAGAATGCCTGGCTCTCCTATAAACTGCAGAAAGCCACAGACAGGGCGCTGTTTGAAGTGGGCTTACAGAATGGAGAAATAAGAACTATCCGCCAAGTGACTGATAAAGATGCTGTGAAACAAAGACTGACTGTTATAGTGGAGGACAACGGGCAGCCCTCTCGTTCAGCTACAGTCATTGTTAACGTGGCGGTGGCGGACAGCTTCCCTGAAGTGCTGTCGGAGTTCACTGACTTTACTCACGACAAGGAGTACAATGACAACCTGACTTTTTACTTAGTGCTGGCTTTGGCTGTAGTTTCCTTCCTCTTCATCACGTGTTTAGTGGTTATTATATCAGTGAAAATCTACAGATGGAGACAGTCTCGCGTCCTGTATCACTCCAATCTCCCTGTGATTCCGTATTATCCACCACGTTACTCAGACACTTTGGGGACAGGGACTCTCCAGCACGTGTACAACTACGAGGTGTGCAGGACGACTGACTCCAGAAAGAGTGACTGTAAGTTCGGCAGAGCTGGTAGTCAGAACGTGCTGATAATGGACCCCAGTTCTACAGGGACGATGCAGCGGATACAGAGTGAAACGAGCATCCTGGATGAACCAGACTCTCCTCTAGAGGTCAGTTTAATAATACATTTTCATCTATGTGCTCTTTAGTTCACTTTCTTTATTTAGATGCACCGGTATAAACAGCTGTACTTCATAGCGCCATTTTCAGCACCACGGACAGCATCTCAGTTTGCATCACCTGATATAAAAGCTCCTTCTGTTTAAGTATTCATAAATATAGCTTAGGAACGCAGAGGCTCCTGACATAATCGCATACGAACTGTGTCATGTGACTATTTTTTTGGTAGGCGAAATACATCTTTTGCCCAAGTGGCAAGAAAGGATACTGTGGTTTACATTAGGCATACTGGTACCTGAAAAAGTTCCGGTACAAATGCAGTCAGAGTAAAATCATTTACATTTCATCACCATGTAATTGTGTAATGCAGAACCGGAATCCCGATATATTTTCACTTCAGAATATTTAACTGTCTAGCCCTCTTCCCACATTTGCATTGCATAAACCGCTGAATAGGTCCATAAACCAAATTTGTGGATATCATATTTTAGAGGATAGTGCTTTAATTACACATCAGTCTTTCTAGACCCTATAAACCCTCCATTTATTGTAAGTAGACTTTGATGTGGTTTAGATTTTAAACATGATTTTTTTCCACGATGATAACAATTATATTTATTTTAATTTAAATCTTTTTATAGTTATTTTTAGGACCGAGTACGTTGTCACCGAATTGTGTGACCATGAGATCTCGTTTTCTGTTATTTTTGACAGGTGGATTTGTCTTTTACTTTTTACACAGAATCTTTCACAATACAATATGCTGACTTGAAAGTTGTTTTCATTTACCGATGATTTCTTAAAACTCATTCCAAAGTGGTTTTTACTCGAGATAGAGCTGTGTAAAGAGTGTGTGCTTTGAAGTGTTAGTGTGGTAGGGGCCTCGTCTGACGTTCATCTTTCAGACTCTGAGGGACGCTGTTGGTCAGTAAAATATTTTCAGTGTTGTGTCGTCATTCACTTCATCCCCCCGACTGACTACACAGTGAAGAAGGCTCTCTGTGTTTTAACGGGGTTTAGGCCACACAAGAGAGAACATGGTCTCACGACTTGCGTGTAAAGCTTGAAGACGTGATTAAATGTAACACGGAACCAGGGAACGTTTATATAAGAACCACATTTTCCGTCATAATAACTTGATATAAATACTATTTTCTGTTCTTTGTTGCCATGATGGCAACTCGAGATTCCCTCACCTACAGATGCGCAAGATGGCGATTGTTTTATGGACTGCGACGGCAAATAGGACTGCTTATTTTGCTGCTTCTTGCGGTTAACATGGTAGGTGGCCAGATTCGTTATTCAATACCAGAGGAAATGAAGAAAGGCTCTGTCATTGGTAACGTAGCGCAAGATCTTGGTTTGGATCT